TATATATATATATATATAAACACCTTCATGTGATACAGTGGACTAATCTTCCTCTCTTGGCGTCAACTTCTGCTAAAATAGTTTATTGACAATACTTCATGTGTATACTGTGTATATTATACCAACGGTGAAAATGTCCGTTTGTCTGTCGTACTTCTAACTCTAGAGGTTCTAACTTCTATGTTATCCTATTTTAGAAATATTTAGCAGATCAAAATAGAAACAGGTGTTTACTATATACAAGTCGAGTATTTGTTTACACACACCTCACACCTGTTGTGAAGTTCTGGAGAAGTTTGTGTAGGTCCTCCCCCCACACACATGTCGTAGGGCCTGTGTGGTAATGCGGTTCTAGTAATATTATATGACAAACTCCTCTCACCTCTTAATAAGGTTCTAGATTTAATTCTGAACATAAAAACTGAGAAACAATATTGTCTTGGCTACCATGGCTTGGGCCGCTCTAGTGACCTCACACACCCCTCCTGTACGGTTCTAGAGTTAAGTTCTGAACCTAGTAATGTAAAGCGATAGTGTGTGACGTGTGTTTAAAAGCCGTACAAGTGTCTAGAGTCTTCATCTATCCCCAGCACAGTTCTAGTGAGTTGAATTACCTATTGGTCTAGTTATTCCTCTCTTAGGATTCCAGCGGACTCAACTCTGTGATGTCGTAACTATAGTTCGTCTTAGATTATGACAATAACCTTAAGCAGTTCTCGTATGCTGACATGATGGTTCTCACACACACACACGTCAAGCACAGGTGAATATGTTAACCTTTTGTGTTTCCTCACTATACCAGATCTTGTAAATGTAACTCACATTGTAAACACTCCGTTGGAATCTTTGTTTACGAGTCTGTTGCACCAAAGCAATATATCGTGATAGTTACCCCTACTGGCTTATATAAACCTTTTTCATGGGTAATAAAAGCCTTGATTCTTCTTGTTGCAAAACGTTGATTTATGTTGAGTATTTAGTAGGAAATCACAGATACTTTGTAGAATATTAAATGATGCTTTTCACTCAATGTTAACATCACTTACGCATTCTTGTGTGATCGACGCACAAACTACAAAAAACACATGTCATCATCATAGGAGCTTATAGTGAGAGGGAGGTGAAAGACGTAGAGATGACACCTGGAGGAATGGTATAAGTTCTCTCTCCTTTCTCTGTCCGTATGTGTGTGTCTGGGCTTACTAATTTTTTTTGGGGGGGACATGTTTGTATTGTTGTCCCCCCCCACCCCGCGCATGTCCACAGCTCTTCAATGGACATCTCCGATACCCTATAGATTCTTTCCCCATGTCCACAGCTCTTCAGATGGACACGCGTGACTCAGAATCCCTCAGCTTCGCGTGTCCACATCTTAGCTCTCGTGCCGGGAAGCGTAGCAGTTGTTTGTGGTCTTGGTGTATTAAACCAACATTGATTGGAACTTTAAACTTGTAAATTAATGGATAAATAGATAAATAAATAAATTAGACTGGGGTTTGGATTTGCCTTAAGTATTAACGGAGATAGATAGATAGATAGGTTGATAGATAGATAGATAGATAGATAGATAGATAGATAGATAGATAGATAGATAGATAGATAATAAACGAAATTTAGTTGAGTTTTATGGTTGTAGGAAATAAAGATAAAAAAGTAAATAGATAAAAGCGTAAAGAATAAGAGAGAGAGAAAAAGAGAAGAGGAAATTGCTACCTTGTTTTTATTTAAGCCGAGTCTTATTTTTCTAACTGGCTATACAAAAGTTAAAATTAGATATATCCAAAAATGTGTGTGTGTGTGTGTGTGTGTGTGTGTGTGTGTGTGTGTGTGTGTGTGTGTGTGTGTGTGAGAGTGAGAGAGGGTTATTTTGCAAGTAATGTTTGAACCATTGGAACTACTACTACTACTACTACTACTACTACTACTACTACTACTACTACTACGAAGAATGAAGAAAAGGAGATACAAAATAAAAATACGAACTAAAATAAAAACAAACAAATCCCCCAATATAAACTATGTATATAAATTCTCTATATATACCTTTTCTACTTACAAATCTAAATTTTATATATATATATATATATATATATATATATATATATATATATATATATATATATATATATATATATATATATATATATATATATATATATATATATATATATATATATATATATATATATGCAAATCACTGTAGGTGCGCGTGATCTAGGTATATGCTGATAACCACAAGAAGATGAATTACACGAAAGTATTAGAACTTCGTGTTTTCTTTCTTTTCCTTGTATCAGCATATATATATATATATATATATATATATATATATATATATATATATATATATATATATATATATATATATATATATATATATATATATATATATATATATATATATATATATATATATATATATATATATATATATATATATATATAAACTCAAATTACTCAAAGTTTCCTCAGTTAATTTTTTCCCTTTACTTGGAAATACGAAATGACATACATCTGGTAAGCTAAGGCAGAAAGATGGATGAATTCACCATATGGCTTCAATTTAATTGTTCTCCATAATGTAAAACTGACAGAGGATTTATTTATTTTTTTAACAAATCGACTATAAGTTACGACACGATATAGATTCTAAGAAGTTCGTAAGTTAATTAATCCCCGTTCAGGTGTAGACTTGAGAGAGCATCTTAATTGGGTCAGTGAAGCGGCGTCGTAAAGTTGGATTCTGTCAGAGATTTATCGCTTCGTGTAAATTTTGTATTTTTTTTTAACTTCTTGTCGGGATGATGAGCGGGGGGGGGGGCTGTCTGTTATGGTGGTTCGGTGCTGTTGTGTGTGTGTGTGTGTGTGTGTGTGTGTGTGTGTGTGTGTGTGTGTGTGTGTGTGTAGAGGAGACGTTAATAGTGTTTTTATGTGTGCACTTTCAGCGTATCTTTTACACACACATACACACTATTAACGTCTCCTACACACACACCGTTGACTTGATGATGACCCCTTTGAGTCAATTATCTCACTCCCCTCACCAACACCTTTCAAGACCACACGACGTACAGACCTAAGACCACAACGTAGGGACCCAAGACCACGCAACGTACGGACCTTGACCTTCTTAAGACCACAGAATATACGGACCTAAGACCACACAACGTACGGACCCAAGACCTCACAATTTACGGACTTTTAACTTCGTAAGACCACACAAATCAAGTACCTTGACCTTATAAGACCACACAATATATGGAACTAAGACCACACAGCGTACGGACCTAAGACCACACAGCGTACGGACCTAAGACCACACAACGTACGGACTAAGACCACACAACGTACGGACCTAAGACCACACAACGTACGGACCCAAGACCTCACAATTTACGGACTTTTAACTTCGTAAGACCACACAAATCAAGTACCTTGACCTTATAAGACCACACAATATACGGAACTAAGACCACACAGCGTACGGACCTAAGACCACATAACGTACGGACCTAAGACCACATAACGTGCGGACCTAAGACACATAACGTATTCCACACACACGTGGGACCTGCTAAGACCACAATGTAATGGACTAAGACCACACAACATACGGACCTAAGACCACACAACGTACACAGACTAAGACCACACAACGTACGGACTCTAAGACCACATAACGTACGACCAAGACCACACAACGTACGGATCAAAGACCACACAACGTACGGACTTAAGACTACACAAACGCATGACTGCTATTCAATAATAAACGTACGGATTCGACCACACAACGTACGGACTTAAGACCACACAGCGTACGGATCTAAGACCACACAACGTACGGACTAAGACCCCGCATTAACGTACGACTAACACCATACAACGTACGGACTAAGACTACGTACAACGTACGGACTAAGACCACATTAACGTACGGATCTAGTGACCATACAACGTACGGATTCAAGACTACACAACGTGTATGGATTCAAGACCATACAACGTACGGACTTCGACTACATTAATGTACGGACTAAGACCACTAACGTACGGATTAAGACCATTAATGACGTACGGGATCTAAGACCACACAACGTACGGATTCTAAGACCACACAACGTACGGACTAAGACCACACAACGTACGGACTAAGACCACACAACGTACGGACTAAGACCACACAACGTACGGACTAAGACCACACAACGTACGGACTAAGACCACACAACGTACGGACTAAGACCACACAACGTACGGACTTCGACCTTCGTAAGACCCACACAAATCACGGACCTTGACCTTCCCTTCGGACCACTTGTTCTACGTTATGTTGTTTCTATTTTTGTTCTTGTTCTCCTTAATTGTTCATTCGTCTTTCTTGGTCTTTATGTTCTTGTTAATTGTTCAATCATATCTCAGGGAGGAACCTTTTTGTTCTTATCTGTTCCTTGTTCTTTCCTTTGTTCTTGTTCTTCATTTGTGTGTTTTTGTTCTTTTGTTGGTCATGTTTGTTCACTTGTTATATTGTTTGTTCTCTTGCTTGTTATTCTGCTTGTTTTGTTTGTTCATTTCCTTTTGTTATTTTTACTTCTTTTTTCTTTTTTTTTGTTCTCTTGAGTGTTCTTATTTTATGTTCGTGCTGTTTGTTTGTTTGGTCTCCTGTTCACTGTTTGTTTTCATGCTTTTGTTCTGTTGTTCTTGTTTATTGTGTGTTCTTGTGTTTTCTTCGTTTATTCACTTACATTTTTATTGTGTGTTCTTTGACTTGTTTGTATTTGTTCTCGCCCTCGATCTGTTTGTTCTTCTGTTCACTCGTAACTGTTCAATCCTGTGCCGGCTGACTCGTCGTCACTATTACTAACAAACACTAAATTGCCTCATCTTGTGTCTTTGTTTTGTGTTTGTTCTCGTTTTTTTATCTTATTTTCGTTTGTTCCCGTGTTTGTTCTTATGTTTGTTTTCTTTTTTGTTTGTTTTTGTTCAGGGGTTTGTTCTCGTGTTTGTTCTCGCGTTTGTTTTTGTTCAGGGGTTTGTTTTTGTTTTCGTTTGTTCTTGTTCTCGTGTTTGTGCTTGTGTTTGTTTTCGTTTGTTTTTGTGTTTGTTCTCGTGTTTGTTCAGAGATTAACTGTTTAGGCAGGCCAGTAAGACGAGACTCAGCACTTGAAGGGGTGACGTGGGGAGGACCGCCATCCCTGTGGAGAGGAGACATAAATCAGGTTTATATTAAATAGAAATGTGAGCATCAGGGTTATGTAAGAGAGAAATATGATCATCAGTTAAATCAGAGTTGTATAATAGAGAAATATGTTCATCAGATATATCAGGGTTATGTTAAGTAGTAATGTTAGCATCAGGGTTATGTAACAGAATATGATCATCAGATAAATCAAGGTTACATACCATAGATAATAATGTAAATGGTAGATAAATCTGTTAGAAATATAATATAAATGTGTATGAAAGATGATGTTTATCCAGGTCTGTATATGATAACTGTGTAAACTGGAAATAAGTAAAGGTATTTTTAATAGATATGTGAATGCTCAATCAATCAAGGTTACATAGTAATACATGTAATGGTAGATCAAGGTTATAATGTCGCTGTAAGTAATACATATCTCAAGATCATACATTAAATAATACATACACTATATACGTACACAATAATCCCAAGTATTAAATTATATAACAGCAACAGACACACACTGTATAATCACCATAAGAAAAAAACAAAATCATAGTTTGTCATCCAAGCAAAAAACAATACTAGAATCAACGACTTTTTTCCAGAAACAATTAAAATTCTCTTCTTTTAAATCCATCTTCATAGCCTCTTTTATCTCCCGCTGCCCCCCCCCCCCCTTCCTGGTATGCAAATGAGCGAAACAGATAATATTTAGGTGTGATAAAACAAAATATAAAACCACCACAGAGACGGAGAGAGGAAGAGGAGGAGAAGGAGAAAAGGGAAGAGAAGGAGTAAAGGGAGAGAGGAGGAGGAGGTGGAGAAGAGGTGGAGGAGGACGAGAGGAAGGAGGAGAGGGAACAGGAGGAGGAGGAGGAGGAGAGGGAGGCGGAAGAGAAGGAATAGCAGGACAGAGAGGGAACAGGAAAAGGAGGAGGAGGAGGAAGAGAAGAAAAATACTGCAGTAGGAGTTAGGGTGACATTATCAGCTCTGGGGGTGGAGGGTGGGTCGGGGTGTGTGGGGCGGGGCGGGGTGGGGTGTGGGAGGGAGGGGGGGTGTTGGCGGGGTTTAGATGTGACGCATGTTAGTTTTATAAAAATCTTACTCTTGCTGATAAAGAAAAACCCAGAGCGAGATATACGGTCTTAAAACACTCTTATCTTACCCCGGGAGTTGGCTGTTTTGCGCTCTCTGAGATGTGGTCGTGAGGAGCTGAGATGTGTGTTGGTGTGGCCCTGAGATGTTTTCGTGAGGGGCTGAGATGTGTGTTGGTGTGGCCCTGAGATGTTTTCGTGAGGGGCTGAGATGTGTGTTGGTGTGGCCCTGAGATGTTTTCGTGAGGGGCTGAGATGTGTGTTGGTGTGGCCCTGAGATGTTTTCGTGAGGGGCTGAGATGTGTGTTAATGAAAAGTTTGATGTGTGTTCGTGTAACATTGAGATGTGTGTTGGTGTGGCTCTGATATAAGAACATAAGAAAATAAGGAGTCTGCAATAGGCCGGTTGGCCTGTGCATGGCAGCTCCTGTCGAGAGTTACTACCACTCTCTATCATCCATGTATCTATCTAGCCTCCTTTTGAAACTTTCCAGAGTTCCCGCACTTACTACAAAGTTGCTAAGCTTGTTCCACTCGTCCACCACCCTATTTGTGAACCAGTTTCTTCCTATCTCCCTCCTAAACCTAAACTTATCCAACTTGAATCCGTTGCTCGAGTCCTATCCTGCTCGGATATTATAAGAACTTTATCGATATCCCCTTTATTGATTCCTTTCACCCACTTAAATACTTCTATCATATCTCCCCGCACTCTTCGTCTTTCGAGGGAATGCAAGTTAAGTTTCTTTAACCTATCCTGATATGGAAGGTTTCTAAGTCCCGGAATCATTTTTGTCATTCTTCGCTGCACCGACTCTAGTGAATTTATATCCATTCGTGAGGTCTTTAGATGTGTATTAGTGAGGAGCTGAGATGTGTGTTAGTAAGGGGCTGAGATGTGTGTTAGTAAGGAGCTGAGATGTGTGTTCGTGTAACATTGAGATGTGTGTTCGTGTGGCCGTGAGGGGCTGAGATGTGTGGCCGTGAGGGGCTGAGATGTGTGGCCGTGATGAGCTGAGATGTGTGGCCGTGAGGAGCTGAGATATGTGTTCGTGTGGCCCTGAGATGTGTGTTTGTGAGTGTTACGAGTGTCCGCCATAAGTTTCTTTCTTGGGTATAAAATACGTTGGTTCAGATGGTGTGTGTGGGTGGCTGGGGCAGCTTCGATCACTACACGCCCACACCGACTGAGCCCCCGTTTACATATTAAATTTGTT